TTTTTTAAGAGCGTCTCTCTGGCATACGAGCAGCACAGTTTTGTAACTAACTCGAACGCAAACTTTCTCCATGACTCTTAAAACAACTTATAACAGAAACATACTACATAAACAATCTAGACTGTTTACATTTCTGTGCTGTAGATTATCTCCTCTTCCGCATTCGCAGCCACGAATATGGCGATTTGATCACGTGATCTGCTGGTCGCTACGTCATTCGAAAACCATCTATCCTACAAAAAGTCTTTCAATTGACAAAGGATGACTGGATTTTCTTGCATGCTGTGTTTGAGAGTATTTAATTTATTTACAGTAAAAATGAATGTAAAATTGGTAAGGAGACTTTACTGTACAAGCTTTTTTTAAACTAAAATCACTTTTCAAGTGTTTAAACGTGTGACTGGTTAAATCTACACACCTTACCAAAACAAGGGATTTGTGTGCAAGGATGTTGAACAAATGAACCTAAAAATCCTAGATCCGCCACTGTTTACCATTGAGCATTGGTCAATACAAGCGCGACTGTAAGTTTGGTCTGGTTTGTAAGTTTGTTTTTTTTACCCCAAGAATCAGCAGCTCTGTTCACAGCAGCCTGCTAACTTGGCTAACACAGTTAGCTTGGCTAGCATCAGGGTGCATGTTGAATGAAGCTTATATGTAACGAGGAATGCTTACACGGGACAAAGGTTTAAATCATGCCTGGCCATTTAACACAAGAAATCCTATATTTACCTTAACTTGAGGAACACGATTCAAACTCCAGCCTCCCCCCACAGGCCACCATCAACCCGAGACGAACTTCTGTCCACCTCTCCACTGGGGTTTACGCACGACCGTACTCCGTAATCCGCTTTTATAAGCAGTCACGTTTTGTTTTGTTTTATTTTTTCCGTTTTTGCGCTCTCTGTTTTTCTGTACTGCTCCAAGGCACCTCACCCCGCGAAAACTGCTGGCGCCAAAGCGATACTACTTCTTCTTCTCCTTTTCTAATATGGCGGATAGCAAGCAACTTGGAGGTGCATACCGCCACCTACTGTACACGAGTGTTGAGCAACATTTCTTCACATCTATTAAATTCTATTTATTAATCTTGTATTTTGAAGAAAAATAAATAATGATTTACTTAATCTATAAATATCCATTATGTTTCCTTCATTTCCTAATATTCCTTTAAGACTCCATTCTTGACCTGTCCTTCCAACCATTCTTTTTAAATTCTCCCTTTCAGATTCATATGTTACACAGTTCATTAATACATGCTCTACATTTTCTTTCTCTCCACATCCTTCACATTTATCATTACTTTTCTTCCCTATTAAATATAAGGTGTCATTTAAATAGGTRTGRCCTACTCTTAATCTGGTCATAATTATTTCTTCCCTTCTGTTTCTCTCATTAATATTTCTAATTAATACTGACTTTTGWAYTTTATATAATCTTCTCCCTTTCTTATCTTCATTCCACCCTTTTTGCCATTTTTCTATTTCTTTATTTTTAATAAATGATTTCCCTTCCCCTTTCCCAAAAGGAACTATAATCGTCATTGTTATTTCTAATGCCTTTTTTGCTAATTTATCTGCTTTTTCATTTCCTTTAACCCCTTCATGGGCTGGTACCCAGCAGAACCAAACATCAATGCCACCTCTATACAATCTAAACAAACTATACAGAGTTTCTAATACTGAATCTTTCCTTTTATTTCCTTCTCCCTGAATACTTTCTAATACTGCTTTTGAATCTGTACATATCACCACCCTTGTCTGGTCGAACCTCCTCTACCCACTGTAAGCTTAGTATAACTGCCATCATTTCTGCTGTGWAAACAGATAGGTGATCTGATAGTCTTTTGGAGATGTGAATTTCAAATTCTGGTATTTTTATTCCTATTCCCACACGTCCTTTGAGATTTTTAGAACCATCTGAATAAATTTTGAGGTAGTTGTAATATGATTTTCTTAAATATTCATCTGTCTTTACCCCTATTTCATTTAAATTCCAATCATTTTTCATTTTAAGAAGTCTCATGTCTACATTAACCTCAGGGAATAGCCATGGAGGAATAGCACTAACTGGATTAATCTGAGCTATTTTCTTATCCTCTAATCCATTTTGGTCAGTTTACTTATCGTCCATCCAAATCCATTGCTCTGGAACTTTACATATTCCCAACAGTTTTGTAATATAATTGATGTTACATTCTCTTCTTCATTACTTTTAATTTTCATTCACTATACTAAAGCTAATTTTATTCTTCTCATTTCCAGCGGGGTCTCTCCAGTCTCTATTAGAAGAGCATTAATAGGTGTTGTTTTCACCACTCCTGTACATATACGTAAAACCCTACTCTGTAGTCTATTTATCTTTTGTAGTGTTGTTTTAGCTGCTGCTCCATATATAAAACTGCCATAATCAATTATTGATCTCATAAGAGCCCTATATATGTTTAATAATGACTCTCTATCTGCACCCCAATTATTTCCAGCCACAGCCTTTAGTTAATTTATAACTTTCTTACATTTAGTTTCTAAGTTTTCTATATGTGTTTTCCATGTATAAGAACTATCCAACCATAATGCTAAATATTTAAATTCTTTAACCCTTTCCAAAGGTTGTCCGTTTAATGTTATTGTTCCTGTATCGATATTTATTTTATTTGTAACAACCATAAAACAAGACTTGCTTGCTGATAATTTAAAACCCCATTCATAAGACCATTTTTCCACTTTATTAATTGCCTTCTTAATTTTTCCTACTACCCAATCTTAACTCTTATTTTTCTATCCAKCAAAAAATTTGCTATCCAATTATACATCTTTCCACTAATTCCCATCTGATTGATTTTTATAAGTAGTCCTTCTCTCCACAGTGAATCATATGCTTTTTCTATATCAAAAATACTATAATCATTACCTCCTTCATTTTTTAAGCTTTCTCTATATCATTACATACTCTAGTTAGAACATCCATTGTTGATCTCCCTGTTCTAAAGCCACACTGGTATCCATTCATTAGTTTCTTGTGCTCAAGAATATATCCTAATCCATTGACTATTATTTTCTCCATCCATTTATTTAAAGGAGAAGTTATAGCTATTGGTCTATAATTATTTGGACTAATAGGATCTTTCCCTGGTTTATTAAACGGAAGTATTATTGCCCTTTTCCAGCTATTTGGTATTAAACCTTCATTCCATATTTTATTAAATAATTGCAGTATTAACTTCAATGTTACATTTGGAATCTGTCGAAACATAGCATAACACAATTCATCCTCTCCTGGAGCTGAGTATCCTGTCCCTTTCAGTACCGTTTTCATTTCTTTCATGGTTATGTTCATGTCTAATGTTGACATGCATTTTTGACATTTTTCCAAAAATATTTTTATAATTTCCAAGTTTTTGTATTTTTTTTTACTGTCTATGAATATCTGTAAGATGTTCACCACTGTGAACTGCCAACGCGATACAGGCGGTCAGGCGCATGAAGTAATCTTTGACCCCGCTGCGTCACTTCCTGGACCGCCTACTACAGAAGAAAAAGCCTGTAATAAATAAATATTTCAAATTCCCACCTTTTTATGTGAATTAAGTTGCAGCTTTTACTGTCATGAATATTTACACTTTAATTTATGAGGTGCCAAGTGTAAATTTTAAACCAAGAAAAAAATCAGTGCACTTTCTTCACATTTAGTGCATTTTTATCATATTTAATGGTAAATGTTAAATATATGTTAAATCTATATCTAAATGTCTGTCAAAGGGGAATGTCTGCATGTAAATATTTTAAAAAATAAATGTCACCAATTATTTTAGTATATTTTGAGATGAATTACAGTCATCCTATTTACAATGTGTTAACATTTTTAAGACTTCTGAAAGATTGCCCAGGTAAAAAAGAAGTGCGCTTAAGGCATTCAAAGTATATTGCAAATTCATATAGTATGCTTATTGTACATTTAAATTTCTAACATGCTTACTGCAAGTGTATTAAAAATATGTTGTGCTTTAACATACTTTTTAAAATTATACTTAAAATAAATTTGTAATAAATACATGCTTAAATAAACTTTTAATA